ACCGATTTCGCTCTCTTTATTAGGACATCAATATCATATATATCTGCTCTCATTACTATCTTGCCTCCTCGCCCCGAGCTGACCTCACTTGCCCTTTCCTTTCGATCGCTCGTGCACGTGGACCACTTGCTTTCCCACCATAGGAAAAAGCTTAGCATTGTTACATTGCTCAAAGGTGACACGTTCCACTGGCGGTTGAGCGGAACTTGTAATGCAGTTTGGATAAAAATGATTATCAAATTAATTAAGGGTACTTCTTTTATCATGGTGTATAGAAGTTGTTCTTAACCTTTTAAAATACCACACCCCCTTTAGGAATTTGCCATTTCCTCCACGCCTTCCTTGCATTTGTAAATAAAATTCCCTTACAGATTTTAAAGAAAATTGTTTTGTTAGTCTTTTTTAATGAGTGTGAATTAGTGGCATTATGATTAAACTTCCCATTATGTGAGAGCAACAAAGATAATTAGAGAAATTACTGCATAAGTTTTTCGTTCGATCGGTACCTTTTCTTCGAGTCGGTATGAGCTCTTATGTTCATTAATATAGGACTAGGGATTAAGCTAGAATTATCATTCGCTCATTAATCACGTCCTCCTCACCCTTTAGTTGCGTGCATGTCCGCACCTAGTCACCATACAGTGCCCCTCAGCCCTCCACCGGCTGGGGGCACGCACCGCCTCAGCGCTTGCTCCCAGGCCATCGTATCGTGTTCATTTACTTGTGGTGGACTCTTTCAACAACAGTCAAGCCGTGCATGCACATACTACTATCAATGTCCTACCACGTAGGAGGCACCTACAGCCTTTTACAGTAATATATAAATGCAATATATATATATATATATATATATATATATATATATATATATATATATATATATATATATATATATATATATATATATATATATATATATATATATATATATATATATATATATATATATATATATATATATATATATATATATATATATATATATATATATATATATATTAGATAATATATATATAAGTGTGTGTGTGTGTGTGTGTGTGTGTATGTATGTATGTATATATGTATATATGTATATATGTATATATGTATATATGTATATATGTATATATGTATATATGTATATATGTATATATGTATATATGTATATATGTATATATGTATATATGTATATATGTATATATGTATATATGTATATATGTATA